TTGTTGGGCGAATGTGGTTCAGTGGTTGTGCATCAGTCCATGAACCAAGAGGTCGCGGTTCGATTCCAGTTCAGTTTTATTCTGGTTCGATTTGATTCCGGTTCTATTCCTGGGAAGGGCCTGTGCATAAAGTTGTGGGCTTGATCCCCACTAGTGGATGTGCAGAGGCAGCCAGTTGATGATTCTCTCTTATCATGGATTTTCTATCTCTCTGAAATCAATAAAACCTATTAATAAAGCAGAGCATTCTCTTATCCCTTGATAGTTATAATATAGCTCATTATGTTATCCCTGATGTTACAATATATCATCAAAGTCATATTCATAAATATAGTTAGAGAAGTCAGTATGGTTTTTCAAGTGGCATTTTTCATTTAGTAGTATCTGGTTTTCAACTAAGCTTTTTAGGGAGTTTTATTTAATTTGTAGTTCCTTATTGAAATTGTATATGTTTCTGGATTAATTCAACTCCAGTAGTGGTACTGTCACTAAGTGCTGTGATTGTGATTCATACTGCACTTGTTCAGAATAGTTTGCATTGGTGTGGAGTATAACAATGGGTTTTAAGGTAAAAAAAAAAATGTATTTTATTATGGCACAATTAAAAAACAGAGCAAAGCAATTCTTGATGCTGTGAATGAAATGTGTATTTATTTATAACATCCAAGGACCATTGTGTGAACTTTGTCTGGCATATTAGTCTAAAATAAAATTGTAGATCAGGCATTGTGTCTTCCTTTGGGAGTTCTTTACCCAAGTCTTTTGTGCCTTAAAACAACTCTGCCATTTCTGTATAACACCATGTTTTCTAAATTATTTTCTGGGATTTTTTTTTTCTTTTATGTAAATCCCTTTAGTTGGTACTGTTTTTCTTACTTAAAAGTCCTTATTTGAAAAGTGTTTTTAACTGTTTTCAGAAGACCACTTGGAAATTATAGATATTCTGGTCAAGGTTAAGCACCTTGTGGTGCTGGTGAATTTGAATGGCATCCACATTGCTGATATAACTAACTTGGTTGAATTAGCAACTAAGCTGAGGTGGAAGGGACACTGTGTCTGACTTTTCGTCTTAAGAGTATGTGGCAGGAGGAGAGAAAAAAAGCACTATTCTCTTTTTTGTGAGAAGAAGGATCATTCTATCCTTGGAACTTCCCACATTGCCACTAACTTCTTGATTAAATTCTCTCCAATGATGGCTCTCCTTCTAATGTTCAGAAAGAAATGTCTCTTCTCGTTTACATTATTATTATTATTATTATTATTATTATTTGTGTGTGTGTGTGTGTGTGTGTGTGTGTGTGTGTGTGTAGCATATATACACAGAAGCCTGGTGCACGAAATTCATGCACTTTTGCGGGGGTTGGGGGGAGTCCCTTAGCCTGGCCTGCACCCTATTGCAGTCCAGGAGCTCTCAGCAATCAGAAATCCTTAGTATTGCCATGGCACTCACCAGATATGAGCCCAGCTCAGGGCTTCTGGCTGAGCGGCACTCCCCCTGTGGGAGTGCACTGACCATCAGGGGGCAGCTCCTGCATTGAGCGTCTGCCCCCAGTGGTCAGTTCACAGCGTAGCGACTGGTCATTTTACTGTTTGGTTGATTTGCATAATAGCCTTTTATTATATAGGATATATTAGTATATATCTGTAAGAATTTAGGGGGAAAATAATCTTATTCAAGAATTAACACAAAAGCTCTCTTTACCAGTTCCAATATTTGCATTTCCAAAGAGAAAACTTGTTGAAATGAACCTCAACCTGCAATGGATGGGTTTTCAAATTGTGTGACAAAAAATTAGGATGGAGCACCTGACCAGCATGGCTCAGTGGTTGAGCATAGACCTAATGAATCAGGAGGTCTTGGTTTGATTCCTGGTCTGGCACATGCCTGGGTTGCAGGCTCAATCCCCAGTAGGATCGATGATTTTCTCTCATTGTTGATGTTTCTCTCCCTCTCCCTTCCTGTCTGAAATCAATAAATATGTGTGTGTGTGTGTGTGTGTGTGTGTATTTTTTTTAATTAGGATGGGCAAGGTATTTTTTCTTGACTCTAAATTTTTACTATTCTGTGATCAGCTCCCTGAAGTTATTTATATTTTTGATTGATTCTCTATTAATCCTTAACTAACAGGTTTTCCAAAAGTTCTGTGTGCACATATGTAAGGATTTTTTACGTGTGGGGATTGGTGGTTGTTGACAGTTTTGCTTTCCTAACTCTCACTGAAAATTTCCAAAACCCTATCAGAACCTGAGTAATCCTCTTGTATGGCAATAAGATTATAAAAAAAAATTGCCGAAACCAGTTTGGCTCAGTGGATAGACCGTCAGCCTGCGGACTGAAAGGTCCTGGGTTCGATTCCGGTCAAGGGCAGCTTGATCGATGCAAGAGGCAGCTGATCGATGGTTTTCTCTCATCGATGTTTCTAACTATCCCTCTCTCTAAAAAATCAATAAAATATATATATTTTAAAAGATAATATAAAAAATTTCCAGGTCTCATTTTATCCGTATCTCACCCAAGATGGAACTTTAAGGAACTCTTAAATAGGGGTGAATAAACAAACACTTGGCACACTATACTAAAATTTTACTGCTAAACTTTAAAAAATAGTCTTCTTTTGGCAGAAGAAACATAAGCTACACCACTCAAGTAGAATTGCTCTGGACTACTCAATGAAAATAGTTATAGGAGGCACATTACAATTAAAATGGTTTAGCCGGGACCGGATTGGCTCAGTGGATAGAGCGTTGGCCTGCGGACTGAAGGGTCCCAGGTTCAATTCCTGTCAGGGGCATGTGCCTTGGTTGCGGGCACAATCCCCAATTGGGGGTGTGCAGGGCAGGGGTTGGGGGGGCACCTGGTCGATGTTTCTCTCTCATCGATGTTTCTGACTCTCCCTCTACCTTCCTTTCTGTAAAAAATCAATAAAATAAAATGGTTTAAAGATATAATCTTGAATTTTAAAATAATATTGCAAATAATTTCCCCAACTTCAAAGTAAAATACTTACCTCCTTCATTCTAACTGGAATCAGTTTTGCCCCAAAGGTATATATGATGCATGACTACTTTTATCTCCCCAGTCTTCTGTGTAGGAACTCACAGAACTAGATATAATTATACAGTGTAAAAATCCTTTTCATAGATGAGGGCAAATTATAACACAGCATTAATAGAAACTTACCAACTAAACTAATACCACATGTTCTATATTCTCACCTAAATGTTAGGTCAAGTCAGAGTTTAGATGAGTATTCTTTATTCACAAGACTATTTAATAATGTTTGGAACACTGCTAGAAAATACAGTACTTATTTAAAAGAGATTTTTACACTAGCACTACCCCCAGTGTCTTCCAGAGATACTTTGAAAACTACTTAAATAATCAAAGACATTACATTTCTCTGAATCACACTCACCCTATATTAGAAAGCAGTACAAAGTAAATGAGTGCCCTAGGTCAGTAGGCCCTTCTAAACCTGAATTGCTATTCTTCACTATATATATAAAAGAATTATGTATTTCCTATAAGGACTATATTAGTGAACCTGTAAATTGTGAAAGTGCCACGTACAGTACCAAAGCATGGTTAGATTTTGCTGGCATGTCCTACATAGAAAATATTCTCTGATTTTTTAAAAATAGAAGGATTATAGCTTGTGTCTGCATAGTTGAAATCATAAGAGGCAATTTAGAATATGCTTCTCTGGCTATTTAGATTTATGTTACCTTCAGTTTTGTTCATAGCCATTTTCTTGTAGGCATAGTGGAAAGAGAATTCTGATTCAAAATGGAATTAAAGATTGTTCTCACTAGAATAGGACTCAGAAGTCAATATAGCAGGATAAAGTCTACACCAGCCCTCTTAAGTTTGTTTGTTGTGCTACTTTATTGTGGTCTTCATGTGATAGGACTCTAGTTGGAATTTCGAAAATACATAATTGCTATTTTTAAGCACTCTGAGTGCTTAATAGCATTTAATGTCATTAAATATAATATCAATTGCTTAATATGAAACAAGGGCAATAAACCTACACTGCAGCAGGAAGCAGTTTTATTTCTCTCTCAATTAAAGCATGAAGTTTTTAATGCATTTATATATATTTGTTATATAAAGTTGTCAGGTTATCTTTTGGGTATATGGTAGGTTGGTACGTTTCTTTAGAAATTTCATGAGTTTTTATTTGTACGTGGTGTTTTACTTCAATTTTTACAAAACTAGTTTGTTTTGTTTTTAGCAACCAGGCTTTAACTGCACAAATTGGCTTTTCTATAAGTTTGTATCATTCTCTCCCCAACCTAGATGTATTATATATGTGAGGTTCCTCTAATGAAAACTTCTTATAAGGAGTGTTTTGTTACCTAATGCTTCTATACCAAATGCCAGTTCTTACTCTCAGGTACTTATCTATGAGGGTCATATATATATATGAACATGTCAGATACTTTGTTTAGAAAAAAATTAATCCGTTTTTTTCCCACATCTCATTCTCGAAGAGTCTGCCCAATGGAATACAGCACAAAGCACACTAAAAGGAGGCCCTACTTCATGGAATATTGGAAGTTTCAAGACAATGGAGTTCAGCTCATACTTCTTTGTAACATAAAATGGGATTATTTACCTTTACTCCTTTTGTTTTGTTTTGTTAACACTCCTTATTTTTCTCCCACCCTTTTCCCCTCAAAAAACAATCTTCCCTTTGGAGGTGGGGGGTGGGAGAGAGTTAGGTTTAGGACTTGCAAAGTGTTAAGACGTGGACATAATCAGCTTTACACAAATTGTGGGTTAGCTAGAAAACTGAGGACATTCCTTACCAAACCATGACAATGTACTGCCATATCTTAATAAAAACTGCCCAAGTGACAGTGTGTCTTCTGAATGGATTTTCTTACACCATCTGGTTGTCATTGTTGTTCTTTTGTTACTACTTTCATTTGAAATATGCTGATGATCTTGTTTTTATTCCGTAGCATTGAACAGATGGGTTGATTATTCTTTTCAGATATTAATAAGGCAGCGGAAAGAAGAAAAATGAATACGGCTCCATCAAGACCCAGCCCCACACGAAGGTAAAGTACCCTGAAGCAGTGAGTTACGTTGGGAGAGTTGGGCTCTGGGGAGTTAAGCCCAACTTCGTACCTCAAGGGTCTTTTCTTCCCCCCAACAAATCAGAAACACTCAAGCAAATAATAAGAACATGAACCATGTGTGAAGGGCCTTCTGCTTTTTTTAAACATGCATCAGGAGATACCGAGGAAGCTTTGTATTTTCGGTGGCAAACCCAGCAAGTTCAGCTTGCAACATGAGTTGCAGGCGATTGGAAGAGGATAAACCTCTGTTTGTCCCCAGCTCACGTGTCAGTGGGAGCCTCCACAGCAGGAGTGCCCCAGGGTCGTTGGTGTGTGCCATGCTGCCTCCGCGGGCAGCAGAGATTCGACACTTCATTCCAAATGGCTGCCAGTCCAGATGTTAAACCAGGTTTACGGAAAGTGCTGCTTGAGAGATTGCTGCTATACCTGTGCTGCAGATCACCCGTGTGCTCACATGCTTGGGTTACCCACCGAGGAGAAATAAAAAAGCATATAAACACGCCTCCTCTCAAAAAGTCTCCCTTTTTCTTAGCCTTCCTGGAAATAAAAGGCATCTTCCCTAAACTAGTCGTTCTTCCAGCATATACAAAAGAGATAGTCCTGGTGTGTACCCTGGAGATAGGCATTAAATTGGCCTCTTCTGGCAAAGAAGAGCCTTATTAATGTTACCATTTACACCAAGATGAGTATATTGTGTCCAAAAGTGTCACTCTGCAAGTGGATGATATCTGGTGTCTCTTCATGGCTCAAGTGGATACTTAGTGTGGATTTTGCCTTTGTCCCTAAGTAAAAATGCCAACTTTCTACTGTAAACTACATATCAAAACTATCAATACATGCCACAGTAAACTATAATATATTTCCTACAATGAATTGAACACTGCTGAGTACAATGAATCCTAGTCTGTACTGGTAGCTCCACAGGTCACCTGGGGATATACCCAACTGAGCATTTACATGTAACATACAGCTATCCTGTTTTGGGACAAAACATCTTGCCTACTTATAGGAGAGAATGGCTGCTGTATGTTTGGTGTATATGCCCCCACTGGATATGAAGGGTGGGTATTTTCTAAGCTACCAGGAATAGATTGCACATGTCTGCTACAGGGTTTAACAGAACCAAGGTTAATGCTGCCAATTTCAGTTGGATTCTTTGAGCACTTTGCCAGGCCAAGGAGTTGAATCTGATACCACAACTACCGCTGTCGGGTGGATACCCTGGTCCCACTGCAGAAGTGTTAATATACATTGGTATTCTATCTGTTCTCTCTAACACTAGAAGAAGTACCTGCAGCTTATAGGTAAATACTTCGTTGATTGATTTTGTGAGTATTCTGAAAAAACATAAATGAATCCTGCAGAACTTCAACAGTTCCATATAATTGCTTCCATTATGCTGCATCTAACCGTGCTTCAGATTTGGGGCAGTTCCATCTGTGTTACATCTCATTGCCCCAATAAACATGAAATACTGATGGCTAAGAAATTGCATCTGTCTAATGGTTAAAACCATGGGACTTCCATTGGAAGCTGTGGTTGCCAAATGGCTTGAAAGAAGTATCTGTTTTCAAGGAGCTCTAATGTGTGTGTTGCTGAAATAGGTAGCTTACAGGAAGGTGTTCCCATGTTTATGATTTCTGGATAATATCTGTGTTTCTGCAGACAAAAAGGGTGGGAGGGAGGCAAACTGTAGCTTCTATTTGTCTATGAATTAAAAATATTTTATGTCATATTAATGATACTTGGTCAAATGCTTTAAACATTATCAGTTGATTGTAGCTTTCAACAAACATTGTCATTGTTGGGGAAATAACCATCTCCACTGTTTAGAATCCTATATAGCCATTGTCAGTACATTAAATTTAAAAAATTAGTTTTATACCAAGCTAAAATATAATTCCGTAATTTCATCTTTATTGGGAGAAATAGCTTTATGCCTTTTTAAAACTATTCTCCCCTAAACATTCACACACACACACACACACACACACACACACACAAATAACAGCATACAGGCAACATTGCAAGGGGCCTTTTAAAATGTTCTTCTTACCGGATATATAAATATATATCACTTTTATATACCTTTTAAAATATCACCTTCCTCAGAAATAAATTTTAAAATTAGGTTGTTTAGATATGGTTGGGCTGTGGCTTCCTCCTTTGTTTATAATACCCTGTTTCCCCGAAAATAAGACAGTGTCTTATATTAATTTTTTCTCCCAAAGTTGCACTAGGTCTTATTTTCAGGGGATGTCTTATCTTTCCATGCGCTAGGTCTTATTTTCGGAGGATGTCTTATTTTCGGGGAAACACAGTAAATAGAAGGGACAGCTAGGCTTTTAAATTTCAGTAAGACACTCAGTCTTCCCCTTGGTGATATGCCCCTAACTGGGTTTCTTGGCATGTTATTTAACATGCTAATGTTTCATACAATCATGTTTAATAAGGTTCAGGGAAGAGGGATGTTCACATTTAGTAAAACCTATTCTGAGCCCCATCTAAAAACTGAGCAAATAGTCCCACTTTAATCATTGCTTTGATAATGTCATGCATTATCTCTTAAGATATATCAATAGGGCAGAAATAAAATACAATAAGTAGGCAAGATGGGTGAGTGGTTAGCCTAAAAGGGGCTGATCATTTCTTTGAGGGTGAACACTTGATATCACATCACCCTTTAGGTGCATGCCTCTAGTCAAAACCTTGAATTACAAATGTACCAGTATGATTACAACAACCATGCTGCCTCCATTTGACAACCCTGATTTTTTTATGGTCTCTAGCCATGAGGAATGCATTGTGACAAATATTTCCCTTAAGTTCATGTGTTAAGTGCTGCTACTATTAAATTGTTTAAGCATGCTGGCAAGACCTTTGTAACACCTTGTTTTGCTGGACTTTAACCTTGAGTGTCAAAACGCCTAGGTATCTTTGGGAATTTTCACAGGATTATCACCTCTTCAAATGTCTCTGCAAGGCACAGTTCTGCTGGCATTGCTCTCGGTTCAGTAATGTGTTTCCCTAATGATTCCAACAGTCAGTATGTAATTCTGACAATATTTGTCCAGTCAAGCACAGTACTTTGCATCGGAAATCCCTGCTCTGGATCAAATTTCAGCCTGAATTCTCATCATTTAATCCTTGGACCACTTCATTTGACTTCTTTATGAGTATATTACATAGTTACCATGCAAGGTGCCTGGCATTGGTGCTAGGCATTAGGCCTTCTTCAAAAACTGGACCATAATTCTAGTTGTGCCTCAGATGTTCTAAATTTTCATCTGTAGCTCACCACCTTGATAATCCAGGTCTTGAAACACCCCTACGCAGATGTGGCTTCCAAGTAAGACTCTAGTTCCTCATCCTTCCCATATGACCTGAAGAAAAGCAAATAGAATTAATTCATCTACATCAAAAGTTCTACAGAGAGTTTTCCTCATATTTTTAAGGATTTTTAGGCCTGATTCCTCTTCAGTAAAAGTCATCAATCCAAAATAACATAGCCGGAGACAAGTTTCTTATATGGCCTAAGTTGGTTTCTACCTATCCACAGTGTTAATTCCTTTGATAACTGCTTGCTCCTTGGATGTGATACAGCTTAAGGTGGGCTTCACGATTAAAGATTTCAGGCTGCGTTTAACCCTGTTCTAACACTTAAGAAGAACCTTCAGTTCTCAGCAAGTGCCATCTCTACCATCAGAAAAGTCATATTTGTGCTGGAGAAAATCATCAGAGTGCATGCTAGGGAGACATATGGGCACTTAAAAATTTGAATCTGGGAGGTATATCTCATTGTGCGCCATATCCTATGTTCACCTAATGGCAAAATTCTGCTCAAGTCCTTTGTCTTCATTTCTGACAGCATGGAACCATTGTCGTGGGGGATCAACATCACATAACAGCCAGCCATTTCAATAATTATTTGTGGACACTTATCTGTGATGGAACAGAAGTATGAAGAGCTGGTGAAGGATTTTTTTTCAGGGAGAGAAAAAGGCTGGATCTCCCAAGGAAAATATTACAGTAACAAAAAGATGTTGACAAAGAAAAGGACAAAGGCCTTCCTCCCTCATCTGTTCACCAAGGCCAAAGAAAAACGTCCTGAGCTTGAGGTTTCAGCCTCTGGCTGAAGACAAGTTCAAAGTCCCTCACAGTCTTCAAGATGATCAGCTATCAGTTCTTACTCTGTAGACTCTCAAATGTACATTCTCAAATGAAGGGGTAGGTGACACTACCCCTTCAGTGCCCAGGAAGAAAAGCAATTCTTCCAGAAGCACATCTGAGCCATGCATGGCTTTTCCCTTCACCCACTCCTCCCTTACCTCTCAACTGTTTCCAAATGATGGCTATATTTCTCTTGAGGCAAAAAGCATTTGGCTACCAATATTTCCCCCCTGCTGAATAGATGAGGGATATTTAACAGAATTTTAGTAGTGTTTATCACCTGCCTTCAGTTGTGGACTCGAGTGCTGAAATTTATTTAGTAACCACTTTCTGGTTTCATTTTAGCCTCTACTGACCTGGTACTTGAGGGTACACTGCATTTGGTCTCCATTTAAACACCTCTTGTATGGTGGGAAGATATTATTATGCTCCAGAAACTTGCTTCTAACACACTGGCTGACTGAGGTCAAGCATCTCATTCTGCAGCCTTTCTCCTTGCGACACTCTGAATCCTGCACACTACCACCCTTTTGATAGCTGGTCTTGCTTTGAGAAAGATGGGGCCAGCAACTGGAGTCCTGAAGTCCTTTGTCCTGGGAAAGTTCTTTGTTTGGGTCCTGAAGTGACCCTAAAGGGGTTTTGTCTTTGTCTTCAGAGGAACAGCAGTCTGCCATACTGCTCAACTTTTGAGAAAGGAAAAGTGCCTGGCCTTTTCATTTTAGAGAATTACTATCTTCTCCCTTCTTCCACCACTTTTGTTCCTTTCCCCCTTGTGAATGAATATCATCCTTTTTACATTTTTAAACAGAAAGCAATTGAGGAGGAATTAGTAGTTGTGTTGCACATGAAGTTCACATTCATTGAAGGGAGGGGGAGTGTTTGCCTTTTCAAACTGGAAACGTGAATCCAGGCTTTAGGAATTTAGGATTATAATCAACCTCCAGGGATGGACTCTTGACAGGTAAGTAAGTATTTCAGTGCGTTCAAAAGAATGAGAATCAAATAGGGCATTTATAATTATCCTGAGGCCACGAATAACATGCTGTTCCACCAGCCCAAAGCTTTGTGTGTGGTCTGTGGTCTGTCAAGCTCATGATCTCTCTCAGTCCTGATTGCCAAGAACACTTGAAATCTGATACCACCTCTAATGACTACTTCTAACTGCTCCCCAAGGCAGCTTTATCTAGCGATCATTAATCCAAAAATACTTTACAGTTGTCCCTTCCCATTGGGATTCTGGGAGTTTGCCCACATTATACACTACTTCAGATGTTACACATATTAGGAGGATTATATGACATAAGGAAAATTGAAGTAAGAATTTTGGTTAGTCTCTATTCTAAAAGGAGAAAAATGTTTAGCTGTCATTTAAATTCCCTGGTCTCCCATATGTTTCCACAAGTTAGGGGTTCTTGTGAGCCTTAAAACATATGACAAGGATTTTTCATAGAAGCAAAGTTGTCATTTAAATTGTTTTTGCTATGTCCTGTAGATGAATGAAATTGGAGTTTTCTATCAAGCTGCTGGCATCATGATGAATGCTTAATATGTGTAACCACGATAGATGCAAAGGTATCAACAAAACATGGCTCCTGCTCTTGAGAGGCTTATAGTTTAGTTGAACAATTAATTAAACATTTCCTAAACTTGGTGCTGTGTCCTAGGGATACAAAGCCTTCTACTGTTCAGTAGGGAGGCGCCCTGTAAACAAATAATTACAGAACGTTGTGATAAATGCAATAATAGAAATATGTCCTAGAGGCATGTACCTTGGTTGCGGGCACATCCCCAGTAGGGGGTGTGCAAGAGGCAGCTGATTGATGATTCTCTCTCATCGATGTTTCTAACTCTCTATCCCTCTTCCTCTCTGTGAAAAATCAATTTTTTATATATATATATATATATATATTTATTATTTTTTATTTTTATTTTTTTTTTAAGAAAGAAAGAAATATGTCCTAGAGCAAGATTCATTCAACGCGTTTGTGGATCATCTCATTGCAGATATAGTGACATTTATAGTGGAGAGTTTCTGATAGCCCTTGCCCTCGTGGACTTGCAGTCTAGGAGAGTGGACAGACAAGTAAAGTGCTATGAGAAGATGTGGCCAGGATTTAGGGGAAGAAGATAAACTTTTAAACTAACAAAATGAGGGAATAATGTATTTATGCTGAGACCTAGAAAATGAATATGCATTCGTATCTGCTGCTCTAGTAAAGACATCAGGAAAAACATTGGCTAGTCATAGCTTAAAGGCCAGCATGGCAAGAAAGTGGTAAATGGGAGAGGATGAGATGGAGTTGAGGAAGATGGGAGCCAAGACACTAAGTATCTTATTAGCATTAGAGATTTTGGATTAAATTCTAAATACTGTGGGAAACCAATAAAGGATTTTACTTATTTGAAAGATCACTAGAGTAATGTGGAGAATGACTAGAATAGAGAGGCAAGAGTAGACGTGGGGAAACTACTTTAGAAGGCCTTTGCTGTGGTTTTAGGGAGATGATTATGGGTTGACTTTCAGTGATGCCATTAGGAATAGAGAAATGTGGACAGAATTTCAGAGAAAGGATGAATGAACTTTGGAAATGTGATTGAAAGAGTGGATGACAGCCAGTTTCCTGGCTTGAGTAACTGAGTAGGTGGGTGTAGCATTTATTGAGATAGGACTAGAGAAGCATATTTGTTAGGGAAGATCGAGTTCATGGCAGGTTTTATGGAGGAGGTAGTACTTAATGTGGGACAAACAAAAAGACATTGTTGTAAAAAGGTAAATACTAGCCCTAGCTGGTTTTGCTCAGTGGTTAGAGCATCAGCCTTTGGACTGAAGAGCTCCAGGTCAAGGGCACATGCCCAGGTTGCAGCTCGATCCCCAGTAGGGAGTATGCAGGAGGCAGCCAATCAATGATTCTCTCTCATCACTGATGTTTCTATCTCTCTCTCCCTCTCTCTTCCTCTCTCCCTCTCTTCTTCTCTCAAATCAATAAAATATATATATATGAAAAAAAATGGTAAATACCAAATCAAGATGGGTAATAGAAATAGTAAGTGCTCTAAGAGTTGATCAGGAAATGATCATCAATTTCTAGGGAGATTAATCTGAGAAGATTTCTTCGAAGACATGAGACATGAATTTGCCTGAGGATTGGGTGATACTTGGATTAGTGCAGGAAAAATATTCCAGATTGAAAAGCCAAAAGAACAAATACTGTGGTAGATGTCATGTAAGTTAAGTCTTAAGAACAGCTTATTGCCGAAATCGGTTTGGCTCAATGGATAGAGCGTTGGCTTGGGGACTGAAGGGACCCGGGTTCGATTCCGGTCAAGGGCATGTACCTTGGTTGCGGGCATATCCCCAGTAGGGGGTGTGCAAGAGGCAGCTGGTCAATGACTCTCTCTCATCTATGTTTCTAACTATATCTCTCCCTTCCTCTCTGTACAAAATCAATAAAATAAATTAAAAAAAAAAGAAGAAGAACAGCTTATTAAATAAAACTGAGGAAGTTGGATTGGGAAATAGAGGAAGTGTAGCAGTTGGAAGGGGCCAGATTTGTTGGGGAGGGTACCCAGAAGTGCAATGGTGAAGCTGCAATTGGAACAGGTTGTAATTTGGGTAGTTAATCTGTTTTTTATGTGTTGAGTGAATTGAAGTGTGGAAGGTTGGTTTTCATTTTGTTTTTGGAAATTTATTGGTGCCAGCATATGGGTTTGGATTGAATTCATAAATCCAGTGAAGAGGGAAAATAAACAGGATTGAAGTTTCTTAATGGAGATAGGAAAGGAAGAATCAAAATTAACTTTCAAGAACTTAGACCTTGATAACTGGGAAGACTATTTTTTTAATACATTTTATTGATTTTTTTTTTTACAGAGGATAGTAGAGTGATAGAGATCTCTAGTTAGAATCATTGAGAGAAACATCGATCAGCTGCCTCCTGCACAACTCCTACTGGGGATGTGCCCACAACCAAGGTACATGCCCTTGACCGGAATCGAACCTGGTACCTTTCAGTCCACAGGTCGACGCTCTATCCACCGAGCCACGCCAGTTAGGGCTGGGAAGATTATTTTTGTCAAAAGTGAAAATGTCAGGAATGTGTGGGTTGAATAAGAAGTTTATTAGATATGTTGAGGTTAAGTTTCCAGTAGAGTAGACTGTCTCCTGAAGACTATTGAATCAGAGCAGACCAACAAATCTGTGACTTCAAATGTTTTAAAAAGCAAACATTGACAAAAAGGAACTAGATTCTTCATAAACCTCAAATTGAGAAAGACCACTACTCATTAACTATGTTGAGAAGACAGTGTGTTCTTACACTTTACTATGTGTATCATATTGTAATTTTTCTTTCTTTCTCATAACTTGGATTATCCTGCTAGATATTGTAAGTGAAGTTTTCTGCACTTCCAGGACAACTCTTTTATCACCATTACTTTGTATGAAATTGTGCATTTGTTTTTTTTCTTCTTGAGTCTTGCTCCTTACTGTGTCTCCCCAACTTTGTCCCCCTTTTAAAGTCTCTTTCAAACAGGTCTGGTAGGAGAAAATAGGTTCTTGGAGAAAGACAGTTTTTCCTTGAAAACCTATTGAGATTGAGATGCTAGATTGGCATGCATAAATTATGCCGAATTACTACTTACTCCCTGAAGCCTGATAAGTACTATGACCTCAGTCAAAACCTTTGATTTTGGGTCATACATTCTTTGTCCTGATCTTTTGAGATTGTTAGAACCTACTAGTCTTTATTTGCTGAACAGATGGTGACTGTTGTTCAAATTTTAGTCTTGTTCTCACTGTTTTGCTACTATGTTTTTTGGGGGGAGTGGTTGGAAGGGGAGGGGCCTTTCTCTAATAAAGAGCTGAAGGGTTAGCTACCTTCGATTTCTTTGTCTTAACATCTTCTCGCTACCTCCCACAGAGATCCATATGGCTTTGGAGACAGTCGAGATTCAAGACGTGATCGATCCCCAATTCGAGGAAGTCCAAGAAGAGAGCCCAGGGATGGGAGAAATGGCCGTGACACCCGCGATAGCAGAGACATGCGAGACCCCCGAGACTTACGGGACCACAGAGATAGAGACGTTCGGGATCACAGAGACAGAAGTATGCGTGATGCTCGGGACATGAGGGATTTTAGAGACTTCCGTGATCTAAGAGACTCTAGGGATTTTCGAGATCATCGAGACCCCATGTATGATAGATACAGAGACATGAGAGACTCCCGAGATCCCATGTACAGGTAGGTACATGTACAGCTATTCTGCTTGGCATTTTTTTTTTTTGGTAAGAGTATTACTTATTTGTTTTCTGCTAAACTAATTGAAAGCTCTGAAGGGCATGATTTTATATCTCCATTGTCTATCAAATGGCAGGTATGCTGCTCAGTAAATATTTTAGCAAATGAATTTTGGTCTCTCCCCATGACCTATGAAAGATAACATTGTGCAAATGGAAAAAAGATGAAGTGCAAATTGTTTTGGCAGTGCAAAAGCACAGGGAAGATACACTTTGTCAGGAAAATGCACTTTATACCCACTAGGGTGGCTATAATTTATTTTTTAAGAACACAGAGCTCTAGCTAGTTTGGCTCAGTGGATAGAGTGTCATCCTGCAGACTAAAGGGTCTCCTGGGTTCAATTCCAGTCAAGGGCACATGCCCAGGTTGCTTGTAGACGCAATCTCAGTATGGGGCATGTAGGAGACAGCCAATCAATGATTCTCTTTCATCATTGATGTTTCTATCTCTCTCTCTCTTTTCCTTTCCCTCCCTCTCTGAAATAAAAATAAATGTGTTAAAACACACACACACACCACACTAGCAATTGCTGGTGAGGTGTGGAAAAATTGGAACAATAATTTACCTTGTTGGTAGGAATGTAAAATAATGTGGCAACTGTGGAAAACAGTTTGGAAATTTCTCAAAAAGTTATAAATGTAGTAGAATTACTATGATCAATTCCACTCCTGACTATACCCAAAAGAATTAGAAAGAGGCAAACAGACACTTTTACATGAATGTGCACAGCAGCATTATTCACAGTAACTGAAAGGTAGATACAACCCAAAGTCCATCAGTAGATGGATAAAAAATGTGATGTATTCATGCAATAGAATAGTATTCAACCATAAAAAGGAAGGTAATGCTGATACCTGCTGCCACATGGATGGACCTTGGAAACATGCTAAATGGCCCTGGCTGGTTTTCTCAATGGTTAGAACATCAGCCCAAGCACCTACGGGTCTCTGAGTCAATTCCCAATCAAGGGCAGGTACCTTGGTTGTGGGTTTGATACCTAACCCTGGACTGGGCACTTGTAGAAGGCAGCCAATCAATGTTTCTCTTTCCCCAGCCGCCTCTTTCCCTCCCTTTCTCTCTGAAAATTAGTGGAAAAAATATCGTTGTGTGAGGATTTTAAAAAATACATTATGCTAAGTGAAATAAGCCAAACAGACACAAAAGACAAATGTCATATAATCCCATTTATATGAAATGTCTAAAAAGGGCAAATTCATAGGCAGAAGTATCTTTTTATGCCCTATTCCCTTCTTTAATGGGTAGAGTTTCAGTTCAGAGTGTTCTGTTTTGAGTGATAAAAAATTATTGTGTGTGTGTGTGTGTGTGTGTGCATATATAATATATATACAGTGTGTGTGTGTGTATGTGTGTGTGTGTATGTATATATATATGCATGCATATATACACACACTGTATATATGCATACGCATACATATACATGGAACAGTTCCTCAAAACTAATATCAATAATTATAACCAGGCCCTGGCCAGTGTGGTATAGCCCAGTGGTTAGTGTTGGCCTGCGCACCCAAGTTGATTCCAGTCAAGATGGCATTACCTGGGTTGCAGGTTCAATCCCCAGTTCTAATCAGGCCAGTGCAAGAGACAGTTGATGCCTCCCTCTCTCCCTACCCCCCCCCTTTCTATTTTCTCTCCCCCTCCCTCCCTTCCTTCTTTTTTCTCCCCTCCCTCCCTGCCTTCCACTTTCTAAAAACCAATGGGAAAATATCCTAAGGTAAAGATTAACAAAAAATAATAATAATTACTACCAGTTACTTTGTGTTTGCTTTATGCCAGGGGCTCATTTGCAGTCACAGAGGTAATAAGCAGTGAGTCCCAGATACCGGCATACCTCATTTATTATGCTTTACAAATTGAAGGCAAGACCCTCCACCAGCAAAAAAGATTACAACTCGCTTTATTGCAATACTTGCTTTATTGCAATGGTCTTGAACCAAACCTACAATATTTTCCAGGTATACTTGTACTAACCTCATTGGTCCAATCCCAAAGTCATATGCCTTACAATGCTTGTTTCCTCGCAGGGGACTGGGTCTTGAAGAATTCTTTGTATCTGATTTTTTCAGGATAGGACGACAGTTTTCATTTTGTGATAATTTCTTTAACTTTACAGGAGAGAAAGCTCTTATGACCGATACCTGCGAATGGATGACTATGGCAGGAGAAAGGATGACTCTTACTTTGACCGTTATAGGGATAGCTTTGATGGAAGAGGCCCTCCAGGCCCAGAAAGTCAGTCTCGTGCAAAAGGTAAAGTAGCGGAGACACTTTACCTTCTATTACTGATAGAATACTTGACCAAAAATAGAGGAAACTAATAACCAACTGAAAGGGGGCAAATGATGTGGCTAACAATTTACAAAAGGAAAAAATACAAATAGCCTATTGATATGTAGAGAGCATTTTCAATGCAAGTTAGTATTATCTGGTTTAGTCATATAAGAAGAAGAAATAAATATGAAATTTCATCAATAAGAAATAAACTAAAGATTGGAGCTAAAGAGGTTGCTTGCGTTTTGCCCATTATACAAATAACTAGTCTGCGTTATCTGTGAAGCATGGGGTTTGTGGGCTTGTTTATTTGTTTGCTTTATAATTTTTACCTAACAGCATCTCTTTAAAAAGACAAACATGCTTTTTAAAAGTATGGTTTTCTCAATACATCTTTAAAGGTTTTTAAATTGCTTCATATCCAGTTGAGTAATAGCAGTAGGTGATTCACCCCTCTGGGTAAAACCTATCTATTAAAGAGGGAATATGCTAATTGGCCCTCATACCATTGCAAAGATGGCAGCATCCACAGCCAGTAAGGAGGGAATATGCTAATTGACTGTCCCATCCTCAAAGATGGTGGCTCCCACAGCCACAAGATGGCGGTGCCCAGTCTCCCCAGCCCCGCCAGAGTGACAGGTGTGTGGCAAGGCCAGGCCTGCCCCCAGGTGGGCCCAGCTGCTCCCTGTTTCTGCCTCCAGAGTCCCCCAGTCCCCTCAGCCCCCCAGCTGCCCAGGACAGCCCAAGGTGCAGGCAAGCCTCAGGTGGCAGCTGCCCAGCCGCCAAGGAGCACCCAGGCTCAGGTAGCCAGGCTGGCTGAGGCTTGCACTGACAGCAGTGGTAGCAGCAGAGGGGTGATGGGGTGTCGCCTTCCCCTGATTGCCAGGTCGCCTCCCACCCCACCCCTGAGGGCTCCTGGACCGAGAGGGGGCAGGCTGGGCTGAGGTTTCCCCCCCTCTCCAATGCATGAATTTTCATGCACAGGGCCTCTAATAAATTAATAAGAGCCTTTCTTAATAAGTCTTTTTACACACACACTACACGTCTACACACTCTCCTTTTACTCCCTCACACTCTCTTCATCACTCCTAATGGCTATTTTTAGGAGATAATCTAGAGCAGTGTTTCCCAAACCTTTGACATATGTGTGTCCCTTCTATAATTTTTGTAACGCTGAGTACCCCTCGTACTCATGAGAACATAGAATTAGGCGCAGCTAAGCACCGTGCAGTGCATATCCCCACCAAACTCCAGTGCAACACGTACCCCCACCAAACTCTTCCCGTACCCCTGGGGGTAGGCGTACCACACTTTGAGGAACACTGGTCTAGAGGATTGAGAGAGAGAGAGTGAGTGTGTGTGTGTGTGTGTGTTATGATCTTTGCCTGCAGGTAGTTCAGAATTCAAAGTAAAGCCTGTGATTTATTTTTATAGAGAAAATAAGCACAATTCATATTTTAGTTTTCCCTGGTGGTATCTTCCAGAGCGTTTGAAACGTGAAGAACGGCGTAGAGAAGAGCTTTATCGTCAATATTTTGAAGAAATCCAGAGACGCTTTGATGCTGAAAGGCCTGTTGATTGTTCTGTAATTGTGGTCAACAAGCAGACTAAGTAAGAACCCTTTGGATATTTCTCCTGAGTAAGGGGAAGGATCAGAATTGAAACTCAGGCTCCCTCTTGGCAGCTCTACCCACTGAATGTGGTCTGTGTATTCTGGCATTGCTGTGCTGTCTTAGCCAGAGTTTTTTCAATTGTAAGACAGAAAAAGCATTACAAACTGGGTTGGGCCTCAAAGGGAAATGTTTAGTTTGCTTGGCTTGGAAGTTCAGGGATGGTCACATCCAGGGTCAAACCATGTTACCAATTTTGGGTCTCTGTTGCCTCATTATTAGACAGGCATTCTCCTTGAAAAGGCAGAATGGCACTGGCCCTAGACATGTATCTTCCTGGCTTAGCAAATACAATGGAAAGAGAGTTTCTCCTTCTAGCGCTTCCATCTAACATCCTGGAATTGTCTTTCATTGGACTAAACTGGCTCATTTTCCCATTGCTGGACTAGTCACTTTAGCCAACAGTGCTGGGATGCCCTGATTGGCCAGGGCTAGGTCGTATGCCCATCCTATCCCTAGAGCTTAAGGTGACTTAGTCCTGTGGAGCCATGTGAACTGAGTTAGAGAGAGATGCCTTCCCAAAGGAAAATCGAAGCAAAAATATATGCTGGTCATCCAAGCAGTAGAGGCCTCCCTTCAAGGGACAACCCCTACTCCCCAGTACCGTAGGAGGCACGTCTCTGTATTTGTCAGCCAAGTATGAAGTCTTTTTTGTGAAGTGCCATGGCCTTGCAGAAACGTTAGGTGATCCTGCTAGTCGGTCCAGAGTTCACAATGCTGTTTTACTCCACCTGTTTTACGTTCTTTCCTTCAAGAGGCAGAGCAGAGAAGCAGAAGGGAGTATAGCGGCTTGCGGGCTTGGCAGTAGCTATGTATTCTTTCCCTTGGTGATTACTAAATAACTTCATGTATTTCTAGCAGTTTGGGGTTAAAGAGCCAATTTCAAGGCAGAAGCTACACTAAGCAGCAGACAGAGTTCACAGGCTCTGGGCTGTCTTGTTTAGAAATAGATGCTGCTTTAACTGTAGAAATGGGGGTTTTATTTGTTTGTTAAATTTGTTTGTTTGCTATCATTTTCTAAACACCTATTCTGTACTATCCCCCATGCAGACACTTTATGCAAAATATTTTTAATCTTCATAGTAAGCATGGCACATGTGTACTCATTCAATTTTTTTGTGCGAATGGCAGATGCTAGGTACTGGAGCTATAATGGTAAACACACACAGCAGCCCCTTCTTATGGAGCTTACTCCCTAGTTGAGCAGATGTATTGGCGATAGACTATGAGGAGAAATACATCAAGGTCCTAATTTAGATTGGAGAGAAGGTCAAGGAGATGAAATGGCAGCTGAGCATATTACTCCTGTTTTATTGGTAAAGAAAGTGAGATTTGTAAGAGGTAAAGGGATCTGCTCAAAGCTTCACAGCTTTTCAAGTCAGTGTTAGAGCTGGGATCCAAACTGTCTTTCTAGGTGAAAACCTATGCTTTTCCCATGATTATGCAGCCTCCCCAAAGACAAGTCTATTTAGGCAGTGAGATGGTGAAAGAAAGGGCTGCTGTACTAGAGAATCAGGAGAAGGACCTGGCTACTAACTACTGCGCTGCCAGCAACTTCATATAGAACCATTCGGAGCGAGGATAAAGAGAAGGAAATCTAGATCCTTGGAGTCTGAAGAGGGCACTGGGGAGACCTTGGGTTGAACTCTCCTAAGTAGTACACAGCTGGCTGGGATGCAGCAGTGTGCAGATTGGGAGTGCTCACCTGGATTCTGTTTGTTTCTACAGAGATTATGCTGAATCTGTGGGGCGGAAGGTACGAGACCTAGGCATGGTAGTGGATTTGATCTTCCTCAACACAGAGGTTTCGCTGTCACAAGCCCTGGAGGATGTTAGCAGGGGAGGGTCTCCTTTTGCTATTATCATCACCCAGCAACACCAGATTCACCGCTCATGTACAGTCAACATCATGTTTGGAACCCCACAAGGTATGGGGCCCAAGTGGGTCAGAATTCCAGGGGTAGTCACTTAGTCCATTAATTCTTTCATGCCGAAATCAGAAGAACCAAGGTTGGGGCAAATGACTCATATATTTCAGCTCAGATATGGTAGGATCCTTTGATAAGTGCACACTGGTGGAGATTTTATGGTCATTGCAGTGTTTCCCAAACTTTTGACATATGTGTACCCTTTCTATAATTTTCGTAACGCTGAGTACCCCTCGTACTCATGAGAACGTAGAATTAGGTGCAGCTAAGCACGGTGCAGTGCATATCCCCACCAAACTCCTGTGCAACGCGTACCCCCACCAAACTTTTCCCGTACCCCTGAGGGTACGCATACCACACTTTGGGAAAAACTGTTTTAGTGGATACAATTCTACATAAGACATATGTTTTCCCCTTAGGTATGTACAGGGGTGTGCTGGCAAATGTTCAACAACCAGTTCTGGGTGAGGAAATGAGGGCAGTGTGGTTTGTAGCATTTGCTGATTTTTGTGGTGCAAATGCTCTGACTGTGTCCTACTTCAAACCATCCATGTGAAGTCACTTCAGGAAGAGTTGGGAAGAGATGCGCAGTCAGCTCTTGCCAGTGGTCATGAGTGTGATAGAAAGCTTTCACCAAACTTTCTAGTGGCAGACAGAAATACAATGGAAAGAGAGCTTGTAGGATGCTATTTGAAAGTGTGCTAAGCAGAGGGACTGTGAGAACAGGGAGAGGGCCTTGACCTCCTAGAGGTCCAGGGGAGGAGGTTCTTTGAAGTCCTTCCCGGAAGTGACTTTTAGTACTTTGTGCCCAGATGTGGAGAGTCAGCCAATTGATGCCCTGCTCTTTCAACGCAGACTTTTCCCTCTTCCCACCACACACCAGATCTCTATTTGTCTGACAGGTTATACCCAAACCATAAAATACGTAAGGCTCTCCTGTGTGTCATTTGTCTCTCTGAGGAATAGTCCTCAAGATACGTGAGTTCATTTATATAAAGTTTTGAGAAGTCTTCTCACCACCCTGTAAATCGTATTGCCCAAGGAGAGGAGGTTCCTTAGGGTCACCATTTAGTCTTAATTCGTTACCTTTGAACTAAGGAATTCAAAAACAGTAGGCCAGCTCTATCCCGAGAAGCACCGTGGAGAGCCAGGCTTTACCGACGGGCTTTTGACCCCCTGCAGCCACCCCTCCATGGTCACCCCCACGAAGTCTCTCTGAAGCTGGGAGAGGCTATCATGTTGCTTTGATTTTTACTACAAGTCTAGGAATTCCGAAAAGAACCAGCTCTGTACAAAGATGTGCATTCCCCACCAAAGAAATGCATTTACGTGTCTTCCCAGTTCATCTCCTTCCCCTCCCTTCCCCATCCCAAGCTTTTTGTTACTGTTTCTTGCTGGCTTGAGACTAAGAAAGGCGTGGTAGATAGAGTTCAGGAGGTGGGCACTGAAATCTCTCTTGGGAGAAAATAACTCATGTCACTCCCTCCTGCAGAGCACCGCAACATGCCCCAGGCAGACGCCATGGTGCTGGTGGCCAGAAATTATGAGCGCTACAAGAGTGAGTGCCGGGAAAAGGAACGCGAGGAGATTGCCAGACAGGCGGCCAAGATGGCCAATGAAGCCATTCTGCAGGAAAGAGAGAGAGGAGGCCCCGATGAAGGAGTACGCGGGGGCCATCCTCCAGCCATCCAAAGCCTCATCAACCTGCTGGCAGACAACAGGTACCTCACTGCCGAAGAGACTGACAAGATCATCAACTACCTGCGAGAGAGGAAGGAGCGGCTGATGAGGAGCAGCACCGACTCTCTGCCTGGTGAGCTACGTGGCAGGGCCGAGGTGAAGTTCTGACTCTGCATTTCTCTAATTCCCAGGCTCTGTTGGGAGGGTGGGAGGCCCATGGCTCTTTGGGGTGGGTAAGGGAATGAGCCCACCCCTGTGTGTGCCTCGTGGGCCTTTATACTGATAAAATGATAACTTAATACTTGGGCCCAGAATTCTGATCCCTGTAGTTAATCTGGTGATGGATAGACTAGTGTTACTGACTCCCTGGTAACCAGGGTGGATGCCCTTTTTCCTTTAATTAATTCTCTGGGGGAGCTAGGCTGTCTTCTGTAGACAGCTCATACCAAGGAGTGGCCCCTGTGGGAAATTGATGTTATAGTCTGTGTACTGTGTGATTGATGTGATCAGTGATTGTTGTTCTTCCCTGGGCTGCCAAGCCTCCTGCCCATGGAGGGTACTTTCAACCAGATACCTCCTCCTCCTGTCTTGTAGGCCCGATTTCCCGCCAACCACTCGGGGCGACCTCGGGTGCCTCGCTGAAGACACAGCCAAGCTCCCAACCGCTCCAGAGCAGCCAAGTGCTCCCCTCTGCTACACCCACTCCAGCTGTGCCCTCCACCTCCCAGCAAGAGCTTCAGGCCAAAATCCTCAGCCTCTTCAATAGTGGCACGGTTGTGGCCAATAGCTCTGCATCTCCCTCAGTCGCTGCCGGAAACACCCAGAACCAGAATTTTTCCACACCTGTAAACAGCCAGCCTCAGCAAAGATCACAGGCCTCTGGCAATCCGCCTCCAAACATTTTGGGACAGCCACCATCTGCTCGGAACATGGGCCCCAGGCCTGGGGCTCCTTCCCAGGGGCTCTTTGGCCAGCCTTCCAGTCGCCTGGCACCTGCCAGCAACATAGCTAGCCAGAGGCCGGTGTCTTCCACAGGTATCAACTTTGACAATCCGAGTGTACAGAAGGCTCTGGACACCCTGATCCAGAGTGGCTCCGCTCTCTCCCACCTGGTTAGCCAAACCACAGCACAGGTGGGGCAGCCCCAGGCGCCCATGGGATCTTACCAGAGGCATTACTGAGGCTCAATCTCAACTGTTCCCGGCTCCCTCATCCCTGGCCGCCTCCCATCTATTGTGTTCTAAGTAGTTATTTGGAGGATGTTCTTTGCGCCTATCCAGGTCACATCAAATGTCCTAAGTTTCTACCACCTGCTCTCTCTTCTGCCCAAGGCTGTGTTGCTTATTCCTTCCAGAGTCAGAGTTTATATTGCATTTGGGGTTGTGTATTTTTTTGTTGTTTTTGTTTTTTTTGTAGAAAATAAATATTTCTGGGGTCACTTGGGTGGCAGTATGGGTGTCTGGGCTCAGTTGATATTTTATGGGTTTCTCTGGTCTCTGTCACCTGGATTTGGGGGGTGGAGAAGAAAAAGCCAAGCCCCAACTGGTTGAGTTTGGAATAGCATTTTCATGTCAATAGCCTTTGTTTTCCAGCCTCAGAGGCCAGTCAGAGCTCCAGTTCCTATCTGCAGCTCCTGCCCAGAGTTGCATAGCAGACTAGGCTCAGCAGGTGTCATTGTGCCCACCCCTGTGTTGGGTCTGCTCAAGGATGTATAATTTGGCTACTCTGGAGTTTAGGAGTGTCCATGGCAGCCACACAGACAAGATACTCTTCTGCCTGACACAGTATTGTTGGTTTGGGGTTTTCTTGTTTTTCTCTTCTTTTGCTCTCATTTCATTGGAGGATCTCCAGTAGACTGAACAATTCCAGTCACCAGCAGTTTTAACATAAACTGTGAATCTGGGCCCCAACCATTTTTACCCCCTTAACATTTCCATCAGCCTCTCCTTCTCCAGTGGTAGTTTGATGGAATCCATTCTGAGAAGGCAACTCTAGACTCTGGCATTGAACACCCATTTTTTCAGTGACTGTTTGAGTTTTGGGCTTAAAAATCAACCTCTTGTTTTCTGAGTAGCAGGAGGGAGGGATCATTTTGATGTCAGACTTTGGGTAGCTGGACATGTTCTTGATACAGGTGGCTGTTCCTAACTTTTGAGCCAGAATGAAATTATTAGAGGGAGGACTTCTGGCCGCTGCTCTGGAAGGAGCCACAGGAGGCTGCCCTCTCCCTTGGGTTGGAGCTCGTTAGAGCCCCGTGGATCTTAGTCTCAAGGGGCCTCTGGCAGGGACGAGGGAGAACGTGACTTCAGCTGAGTCCCTGCCAGTGGCTAAGCAAACAATGGTTTAAAAGACTCAAGGTCCCCAGATGGCAGCATTTTATGTTCTGATCTGTTTGTGTTCTATAGTGTTTTTCCCTCTTTGGAACTTGTGTTGTCGATAAGATGATTACTTTTTAATTAAAATGAAAAAGGAAATGTGTCGTCTCCTTGAAGTGTGACTATCTGCAGGACCTCTTTTTGGGGGTATTCCCTCTGAGGGTTGGAACGGAGGGTCCCTGGAAGCACTGACTAGTTTCAGTCTGCTGTGAGGCCTGCCCCCTCTTGTCCTCAACCTATGCTTAGGCCTCGAAACCTCTTTAACCCTTGCTTCTCTTCAGCCCACCTAGCTAGCAGCTTTAATAACAGTTCAGAGCAGTCGCCTGCTGGCTAATTCCAATGCTGTGTGAAACATCCTTGTCTGTGTAGACTCTCAGTGTGTCAGCAGGCTTGTCCTCTTATTCTAGAAAGGAAAGCAGGGCCCTGGCCAGTGAAGTTGGTTACTCTCCTGTTTTGATTTCATCTCAGTTGCCACCCTCTGTTCTGCCCATTATGCAGGGAGTTGGGGGAACCATAGTTACAGAATCTGTAAGAGCCTTCAAGAGCATTTAATAATAGCCGGCCCCATCGGAAACGGTGTGAAGTGACTGGCACAAGGCCTCCAGTGGGTTAGGGGCCAAAATGCAGACAGCACTGAACCTGACGCATCCCCACTCACCACCTCGAAGGGTGATTAGCCCCTGCTGCCAGTTCCTTCGTCCCTTTAGGGCGGCCTCAAAACTGTCAGTACACTAAGGAGGCAGACACGCCTGGGGGCTCAGTCCATCCCTCCTCAGGGAAGGTCAGTGTTTCTGAAAGGAGTTGGGTTCTCCTGGAGAGCCACGCTGAGGAATCCTCTTCCCTGCTACTAATTCTTCCCCTTCGCATGTCCAAACAGCACACCTCAGGCTGTGAAGGGTATAATAAAATTATTTTTATTGCATTTTGTGCAGACAGGAGTCTAAAAAATACAGTAAAAGCTATAAAGCATTAAATGGGAGCATTCAACAGTAAAGGAAAGACCAACCCTCTCCTTTTCATATTGGCACAAAAAAAAACACAAGGTCGGTACTGAGGCAGAATGCGGAATACTGAAACACTGAAAATTAAAGGCAGGCCTAATAATAGTAATAAATACTCTTGATTTGGTTTGCAATCTCTCCTATTTACAAGGGTTTTCAACTTCATTGCATTGCCCTGCACGTAGATCGTCCAAAACAAAAGCAATACTAGTTATCACTACAAGGCTATTGAAATATTGCACTCAAGAGTAAAAGTCACTTGGACATGAAACATCTAGCTACAATGATTATAAAGATAATTTGATGAATGACATAACATTCATAACAAATATTGCACATGTAGCACAGAAAACTTGGGTTTTTGTTGTAGGATGTTTGTTTTCAACCATGGAAACTGCTCTTGCCAACCTGACAGTCTGGGCCCAGATAATGCAACTTTGGTTCCCTAATTGGTGTTGATACAACCCCTCCCCCTTCTTCCCATCCCACCACTTCAGCCTGAGTGCTCAGGCTCAGGAGGCTAGACCAAGTTGTGATTCTCAGAGGTCTTTTGGAGGAAGGGGTCAGGGGAGCTGGTGTCTAATATCCGACTTTCTGATTACTGCCTGGAAGAGTCTATCCACCCCCCTCAGCAAGTGTCAGATGGGCCTTGGCCTGTCAGACACCCAGACCTACCTCTAGCCACAGCTGGCCCAGTCAAGCTGGCACCAGCTCCAGTTCTTTGCCTACAGCTCAAAGGAAAGGAGGTGGTGAGGTCAGGAGTGCCAGTAGCCCCAGCTCTGGGAGCTGGGCCGGATGTCTAACAAGGTGTGAAGGTCAGGGCCCTGGCGCTGGAGGTACTGGACCCAGTCAGTCCCAGAGGGCACCGGAAGGAGCATGCAGTGCCTGTCCCCCTTAGTAATGTGCCCTGGGAGAAGAGCCTGGCCAGTGCACCTTCTCTACAGAGCAGAAGTGTCGAAGACTGCAGCTGGAGTAGCCAAAGGCCTTGGGTCCTAGTGGGAGGGGGGTAGAGAGGCGCTCAGAACAAAGCACACCGGACCGCAGGCCCCATCCAGCTAGAGGCCGCTGCTAAACAGCGAGGGCCCGCCCTGGGGCGCTCAGAAAGGTGGCTGGGTCCCCGGGGCTGGAGCTGCCTAATGGGATGGGGGAGGAGGGCAGACTTCAGGGGCACTTCAGGGGCAGCGCTGGGACCACCCCGTGGGTACGCACCTGCACCGAAATCGCTCCCCTCCTCCCTCACCAGTCCCAGAAAGAAAACTCCGGGCGGGGACCGCCCTCCAGCTCCCAGGTGTGTCTTTGGCGAGGAGCCACGGGATTGGGGGAGCAGCCGACTGAGGAGAGGTGCCTGCTCCCAGCGAAGGCACCGGGCCGGGGCTCCCTGGGTGGGGCGTGGCCCCCCTCTCTGCCTGAGAAGCACCCCCGCCCCCAATCCCGGCCCCAGCTTGCAGAAAAGCCGCGACGGGGCCGCACGCGTCTCTACAGCCGCAGGGCAAGCTCCGGTCCGCTGGGAGGCGAATCCAAGAAAAGCTGGACGCTCGTCTCCCTCATCTTCTCCGAAAAGAGCCGGAGGGAAGGATCGGAAGCCGGGGGCGCGCGGAAAGGGAGAGGCGAGAGGGGCCGGGGTGTGGAGGGACCAGGACCAGGACTCCCGCCCGGGCCTAAAGCACTTTTGCTCCCAAACGCTCGGATTCCAGGAAAATGCAGCCGCCCGAGGCTCTGCCGCCGCCGCCGCCGCCGCCGCCGCCGGGCAGCCGGGCAAGCGAAGTCCGTTGCGCTTCCAGTCACAGGGATGTGGGGACGTTAAAAATACACGCGATGTCTCCTGTACACTATGTATAGGCTCAGCCGGCCCGCGGGAGGCTGGAGCGGCGGCCACCCCACCCCCGCCCGCCGGAGCCCGCCGCTGTGCCGCGGAGGGCAGAGCAGGACCGGCCGGGACCGGGCGGGGGGAGGGGGTGAAAGAAGGGGCCACGCGGACCCCTGGGGGTCCTCAAAGCCCCAGCTCCTCGCCGCGCCCCCTCCCGACCTTTATTGCAGCGTCTCCTCCTCCAGTGCGGCCAAGGCCCGGCTTAGGAACCGGGCAGCAGCTGCAGCCGAGGAGACCGCGCGCCTGCCGGGCTCTGCCCTCCACGTGGAGGCGGTCCCCTCCGAGGCAGCCCGGGCGGACGAACGGACGGACGGACGGACGGGGCCTCGGACCTCAGGCGGCGGGGGAAGGGCCAGGGCGCGGGGTCTGTATGTAAACGGTGACGGTGGCGGGGGGCGCGCGGGGGTCCGGGCCGCGGGCCGGGCGCGCTCGGCCCGGGGGGGGGGGGGGGGGGGGGGGGGGGGGGGGGGGGGGGTGGGGGGGGGGGCGGCAGGTCCCGGTCCTCAGGAGTAGATGGTGATGACTTCGCGGCCGCCGCCGCGGACCAGCATCACCCGGTCCAGGTGCTCGGTGAGGACCTCCAGGAACTCCATGTCTGAGCGCCCGTCAAGGAGAAAGACCCGACCCCTTGCCTCCGGCTGGAGCTGGACACCGTGGGCTTCCGCCCTGACCAGGGTGCTGATCCAGGAGCGGGACCGGCTGGGCTTCTTCCGTCCCAGGGCTAGGACCCAGGTTCCCTGGCGCCCACCTCCCGCTTCCCCCCAATTTTAAGTCCAGGATACAATTTTCATCTCCGTTGCGGTTGCGGGGAGGCCCAGGCATGTTGAGCAAAACAAGCTTGGCATCTCGGGATTTCTTCACGATGACCTCATTCAGCCGCACGGCCGTGTGCATGCGCCGCACGTTGGACTGGTTCCTGCGGGAGGAGGGCGCCCTGAGCCTCCGGAGGGGAGAGTTGGATCCAGGCCACGGGACTGCTGGGCCTCTCAGTTCTTGCAACCAGGAACCACCAACCCCAGACCCCTGCAACCCGGACCCTCAGAGACCCCAGAGGTCAGGGGCAGGAGTTGAGGGGTCATGACAAAGTGAGGAGAGTAGGGACTCTGGCCAACCCAGCGAAAAGAATAAAAAAAAAAAAATTCTGAAGCACACTTACAAGTTCTCCCACTCCCTTCAGGAAACACAAGAGAAGCAAAGAGGAAGAAAAGAGAGGGGTCAGAAAAGGCAGGGGAGGCTAGGGACTTGAGCCACCAGCACCCACCCTGACTGCACCCTGGTCCTGCTCCCCCCGCCTTCACCTTTTCTCTGCCCGCACCTGGGAGTTCTGACCCTTAGCAACCAGGCCCGACCCCCGAGTCCTCAGATGGGGAAACAAAGACAAGGTGTGGGCTGGGTCTTCCAACTGCCAGCCCAGGACCCACTCTGCGTGCTTGCTCTGCCACGGGGAGCAAAGACCCTGTAGGTTCACCCCAGACTCGTACGGCTTCATGTTGAAGAAGTCCTTGATGCCCTCGGTGGAGACAGGGCTGGGGCCCTTGTTCTTCTCTGCTGCGGACTTGTCCTTGGTCCAGGTGAGATGCACCTTCTCAGGATCTGCCTCTCCCTCCACCTCAGGCTCCTCCCCCGGGGATGGTGAGCTGCTGGGGCAGCTGGGAGCACTCTGGTCATGGATCAGCTGCACCTGAGGGAGGACCATAGGGAAAGCACAGGACTCCTTTGGAGGCCAAAGGTTCTGCCCCGCTGGTTGGGGCCAAACCACCCCAGTTGCATACCTCCTCTTCGGGCTTCTCCTCACTGTCACCAGCGGTCTCTTCTGGGACGTTGAGGCGGAGCCGAGTGTTGGCTGGATTCTTTCTGCGGATGGAGCCACGGGATTCGTCGGTGATACTCTGGATCTAGGGAGCAACAAAGGTCGTGGCCAGCTCTGCTATGAGTTACCACCACCCATGCCCTGCAAAGAGCTACCACCGGAGCTGATGTTCAGGCAGGGTGTGCCCTTTGGGGAACTGTGCCGTGTGAGAGTACTGCTTCCATACCAAGTAGCTATTGCCCACTGACCTGCCATTGCAGCTCCCCCTCCAGAGCCCCTGACCTCCCCGCCATCTGGCAATTGAAGGGTTAACACTGGGCCTGCAGGGCTCCACCTACCATAACACTATGGTCAGTGTCGGCTCTGATTGGTCAGTGCCCATGCACAATTTTTACTATCACCTCTGATTAGCATTCTTGGGGGTTCATCCCTCCCAGCTCAAATGGGTCCTTCAGCCACTATCTGAGAAATACATTATCCACACCTGAGAGACCCTTCAGCATGGTCTGTCATCCTGGCCTATGGGGTCCGCTACCCATTCCCCAGGCAACCTGTCACCCACCTCTGAGACCTCTCCTGTCCCCAGCTCCTGAGCACCACCTTACATTTCCCCAAGGATCCTACTCCCTGGGGTGGACTAGTGGCCCCACATTACCCCCCACCAGGAGATCTTACACCCATACCCCATAGAGCAGTGGTTCTCAACCTTTCTAAGGCTGCGACCCTTTAATACAGCTCCTCATGTTGTGGTGACCCCCAATCATAAAATTATTTTCGTTCCGATGGTTTTAGGCTGTACAGCAGCAGCTCTCAACCTGTAGGTCATGAGCCACAGGTTAAGAACCGCTAGCAGGGTCGCCTAAGACCACCGGAAAACACAGATATTTACATTATAATTAATCACAGTAGCAAAATTATAGTAGCAATAAAAATAATTTTATGGTTGGGGGTCACCACCACATGAGGATCTGTATTAGAAAGGTTGAGAATCACTGCCATAGAGGCTTACCATCATTACCCCTGTGAACCCATCCTGCACACTCTAAATACCCATCTGTCACCTGCTCTCGGAGGGGCTGTCACATGATCCCTTATCCCCCGCACTGGCAGCCTGTCCACCATCTATATTTAGGACCCACTATTCTCCCATACGTCGCATACAGAGAGCAGAGTCTGTCACCCATGCTACGGCCCCTCTGCCACTTGGCTGGAAGGCGTGGTAGGGGCAGCTGCGGTGTGTGACTCTGATGCCGGGGAGCCCGGCGATGGAGGTATAGGGTGATGAGTAATGCTCTGGGCGAAGCATGCCAGCCCTGAGCCACGCCAGACCAGTGCAGGCCGAGAGCTGGCAGCAGCCTGAGGCTCAGAGAGCCCAGCCCGGGCGGCCTCACCTCCCGCTCCCGCTCGTTCTTGGTCAAATGCATCTGTTTGAGGATCTGGGAACGCTGCTCCATCACTAAAGTCTTCTCATAGGTGTAAGCGGAGATGTCACTCTCGTGCTGCGGGCAGGCAGGGTGGGGCCGGGGTGGTGAGAGAAAAAAGCATGAGCTGTAAGCTCAGGTACAAGGCCAAGGGACGGGAGGCAGGCCCTCCTGCTGCCAGCTTGGATCTGCTCTAGCAAATGACCTAATTTAATCAACAGTTGTGGAAGATAAGAACGACGCTCTTTGAAAGCAATGCAGCTCATTCCCTCCTCAGGTCAGCACGGGACCAGGCATGTGAACTGGTGAATGAATGAATGAATGGACTTATTAATTACCCAGGTGAATGAGAAAGGGGAACAAATAAAAAGGAACAAAGAGATGAATGGATACACACAGAAATGAATGGATGGGTGAGTAAATGAATACATTAATGAATATCTGGGTAGATTAATGAGTACACGGAAAGATGGATAGATAGATAAACAGAATGGATGAGCCAGCATGCCTGGGTTCAAATCCTGGCTCTGACACTTAGTGAGCATTGTTGGGCAAATTATATAACCTTTCTTTGCCTTGACTCCCTGATCCATAAAATGGAAATGCTGATGATTTTGTCTGTTTCATTGGTTGCTATGTTGTATGTAAAGTACATACAACAGTGCCTTACATATCATGAGCACTATTAGACATGGCTTTTATTCCTTTCTTTCTTTTTTGTTAATCCTCACTGAGGATATTTTTTTGTTGATTTTTTTTTTTTTTTTTTTTTTTTTTTTTTTTTTGAGAGAGTGGAAGGAACGGGGAGAGAAACATCAATGTTAAAGAGACACATCAATTGGTTGCCTCCTGTACTTGCCTGACTGGGCCCGGGGATCGAGCCTGCAAATGAAGGTATGTGCCCTTGACCAGAATTAACCTGAGACCCCTCAGTCTGCAGGCCAATGTTCTACCCACTGAGCCAAATCAGCTAGGGCTGACATGGATATTCTTATAAAGAAGAGAGGGAGGGAAAGAGGAAAGGAGGGAGGGAGAGAGGGAGGGAGGGAGGAAGGGAGGGATGGAGGGAGGGAGGAACTGTTGGATGAAGATGTGAGAGGTAAAGAAGTAGATGGGAGAAGGAATTCAGCATCATAAGATGATCGTTGTTGGAGTTGCCCTAACTGGTGCTGGGGCCAAGAGGAAAGAAGGCCCAGAGGGTGGGACTCCAAATCTTTAGGGGTGACTCTTGGGGACTCACCATTTCCACCACCTCGACCTCCGCAGTGATGCGCAAATGGTACAGAAAGGTGGTCAGGTCCTTCTTCATCTGGATGCTGTTGTCGTCCATCTGGGCCACAGTGAAGATGCGCATCTTGCACTTCCGCCAGACCTGGAGGGGAGAAGAGGACCAGAATGGTCCAGCCCAGATGTGGTGAAGACCCTAGAGAGGACCCCGTCCTCACCCTTCCCACCCACCTTGCCACACATCCACACAGACCCATACCGCTAGCTCAGCGACCACGCCCTACACAAAGTCCCTGCTCAGGTGTGGGTCCCCCATAAAGTAACACTTCTCGGGTTAAACATGCTCTCCTTTATGATGCAAGGGAGACAGTCAGTTCCTAACATCTCGGAATGAAGGAGGTGATCATATTCCTTCCCAGGAGCTCACACGGAGGCTGGCCCTGGCCAGAGCCCCTGAGCCTCGCCCACGGATGTACACGTGCACACGTACACGCACACACGCTCACCTTGTGGTGCCGCAGCAGGAAGGGCAGCAGCATAAGCATGCCACCGTCGTGCACAATCCACCAGACATCGATGCTGCCCTCCGAGAAGCGCTCAGGGTTCCCGGGAAACATGGAGACGTTCTTGGTAACCAACAGAGCCAGGTGGCCAGCCGTGGTTTCCCGGACCAGCTCTGGGGGAGGCCAAGGAGAGGGCCGGATGGGGAACAGTGACCCTGGTCCCTTCCTGCATCAGCAGCAGCCATAGAAGCTTGCAGCACCCAGCACCCCATCTCACCTGCTCTGCCTTGGCCTTGGGCTGGGCTGTCAGAGAACCGGCAATGACCTGGGCCTCATCGCTTATTTACTGTTTGAACTTGGGAAAGCCCCTCCACCTCTCAGGGGCTGTTTCCCCAGCTGCCTTTCTGGTCATTAA